TTCACTTACTGTTGTTGTCTTGCTTAAGTGTTTCCATTAGGGTCATTGTGCTAAAATGATTTATAGAAGCCAAGGATTTGGTCCTTTAGACTTAGCAATGAAACAGCAAGCTGAAGAAAAGCTGCAAATGGTAGAAACTCACCAGACTAGACTGCTTATGATGCCATTCAGCTTTTCATGGTATTTGTTCTTCTATCAGTAGTAGCTTGTTAGTGAATTTAAAAAGTTCAAGATTTCTATTCTAATGCATGTTTAGTGCTAGCGATCTGAAGGTGCCTATAATTATGATTTCCCAGCAGTATTGCCTGAGAATTTTAAATCGGCCAACTAGTAGGATGATACCTATTTCCTGGGCTTGCAGGATCTTTATGAGAACTAGATCTGGGCTAACAGAAATCACTGCTACAGTGAATAAGAATGATATTGAACCTTGTTGTATTCAGAACAAAATGCAAAACCTGTTTCCGTGACTCAGCTTTATCTTAGCAAGATCTTCTCATGCACAGGGAGCCCACAAGTAAAAACAAAATTCTAAGTATTCAAACGTATGTAAGTTGGAAACACAAATAATTTTTTCATTACTTGTTTTCAACTTAAGGAGGCGTTTTGATACCCCACGTTTGGAATAGCATAGGTAAAAGGTAGTGGTCTGAATTTTCAGATGGTAAAATGCAAAATGCTGTAAGAGATCAAATGTAGATTCTTCTAACATAATAAGATTCTAGATTTTAAAAAAAAAAAAAAAGCGAGTCAGCTTTTGTTGCTTCAGAGTGAGAGTTTTTCCTTGCAAAATAATTTGTATGGTATTTTTCGTACATCACCGTTGTGGAACATTGGGTCAATGTAGTGTATAACAACCTTTTCCATATGTTCTGAGGTATGGGTGGGACCATACCCTGCATTCATTTAAATCAACGTAATTCTATTGAAATTAATGAGCTAAGATGGCTTGTATTAGCTAAGGATCTTTTCATGTTTTTTCCCATACTCAGCTGAAACAATACCAACAAACTTGAATTCTTGTGAACAGTTTCTCAGACTTTTTGATTGTCTTTAAGATTTTCCCTTATATATACTTGGATTTCTTTTTTTAGTTAACAATTCAAGCTTTATGGCTTCTTCATTCTTCTGTAAATTGTTTTATTATTTTGTCATGAGCGTAACACTTCATAAACACTGTCCTGTTTTGAAACGCTGCTTCCAATGGCTTACCTAGTATTGATGTGTTCTAAATTATGTCCTTGTTCTGTTTTCACTCTTGGAAGTGATACCGGACAAGGACCGTTTTCTCTAAAGCCATATCTAAAGTTATGTTAAAGCTACTACAGTAGTCCCGATAGGTGCCACAGTGTGTTGGAGGTGCTACACCCCAAAGATCTCTATACCACTGTCAACTTCAATGCATGATAGGTTACTTTAGCAGTGCATTATAAGATATTGGTGGAATACCTAGCAAATTATTTTGCTCAGTTTAAAGTGCTGATTGTTCCACTAAAAAAAACCCTGTAAATTGCCAAGGCTTTAAAATTAGTTCAGTATTAGAAAATATATGTTTTGGGGGGGTTTTTTCTTTCTTTTTACATTTGAACTCTGACCATGCAAAACAATCCTTAGATAAGCAAAAAGTTTTGATAAGTGTTACTTTAAGCTGAAGAGAGAGGATAAGCATTTAAAACATGCACCTTATTCCATCCCCTTTTCATTCCTCTTTTCTGTATTGAGAATGCCAAGTCTGCTGCAGTTCTGCTGGGTCTCAGAGAATTCCTCATTCCTCAGAGCAAAGCCACGCATCTGTCTTAGCATCTCCATCCCCTCCTCCTTTCAGCTGCACTGTGTAGCTCCCAGGAGGTGCCTATGGTGGGCGACTGAGGATAAGACAGCATTGGTGTTCTTGCAGAAAACACAAGTCTCTGGGCTGGCTCCAGTTTTCTGCTCCGTGGAACTGGGTTAGGATATCCTTGCTGGAGATGCTCTGAGTGCCGCTGCTTCTTCCGTAAGCAGCCCTTGAGTTGCAACCCTTCTGTAATACCTCATTCAAGCACCTCTGTTTCTACAGCTGCCCCGTGTGTAATCGTCCCTTTCTTGCCATGAACTTAGGTCAGGAAGAATTGTTCCTGCTCCAGGCAGGACTACCAAGTTCAGGTGAGTGTCTGGACAGAAACATGGGCTGGTAAAGAAAGAACTGCTTCTCAGTCATGCTGGTTCTTGTCAATGTGACTTCAGTGGCTTCTACCATAAGAACAGGGGAATTTTATGGCTGTGATTAGAGGACCTTAGGATCAAAAGAAGCAAACAAGCATTGTGCTGTTGGTTGTATGGTGGTTGCTGCTTTGTGTCATTCAGGGAAGTGGTATTACTTTTGTCAGCAAGGGTTGCACCTTGTTGGCTCACATCTCTTTTATATGTAAACTGCATGTAAGCAATTTGTGGGGCTAAGTTAGGCAGGCACGAAGCTCAGTAGGCATATATACAGCATTGCTACAGTATTTAATAAGTGTTAATTTTAGCCACTGAAGTTACCGGTTCCTTTGCATTCTGTCAGCTGAATTGGAGATGCAAAATGAAGACACAGGTTTTTTCAAGAATCCTTTATGATGCACAGAATAAAAAATCACCTGTCTGGAAACATACCTCTTAAATCTAATTCTACTCGGTCAAGATGAAGCTGCTTCTTTGTTACCTGACTTCTTATCAGATTGAATCTCTCTTTTCTGATATTTAAACTGGTAGTCTTGAAGTTGGTACCCTAAATGTGCAGCAAAGATGAGATGTCTCAATACTTTAAAATTTTCTGCACGTTCCTCTAAAGGTGCTTTCAGATTGTCATTCAGTGGCTGTGCCTTCTTTAATTTTTTTTCTTCTCAGATACCTAGCTCTAATTTCTAGAGCAAGAATTATTGTTATTTTGTTTAAACTAAATAACTTGCTACATGTCTGTGTGGAAGGCAGGTCACTTGTCTAAAAGCGTTTGTGTAAGGCTTTATCCAGGTGCAGGTGAGGTTCAAGGCCAGGTGCAGGTCCCCCAAGTACAGAAAGGGTCAATATACCTGTGTTTATGAGTAGCAGATGGAAAGAGTAGAACATATCCAGAGAGTTGGCTTATCTGGTGAGACACAGCGTGTAAAGGGACTCTTAATTATGAGTGAGACAGAGCCGCACACTTAGTTCTTGGTGCTTAATTTTACCGTTTTGCTAAATAATATGCCATGTAGTTTATTTCTCTTTTCCCTTATTTCCTACTCATTTCTTTCTAATTTGTGCTCATTGTGTGCCTGGCGCTGGGAAGATCAATCTTTGGGGTGTGGTTAGAGTTGTGGAAGTTACAAGGATGCTGTTAAGTACATCTTTTTTTTTTTTTTTTTTCTTTTTTACTTTTCTGAAAATCTAGAAGGAAAGGCCTTCTTTTGTACAAGTTAGAACGAAGAGTTTTTGTTCAAGTGGTTAAGTAACCCAAATGAACAACTTTTTTTTTTTTTTTTCTCCACAACTTTTTTCCATTACTCATTTGTAATTAATCTTTTATTTACTTGAAATTCTTTTGGATCATAAGCCCGCCCTGTTTCTTCTGTATCTTCTGCCCCCTGATCCAATAATGAAGGATGTCAGCCACTCTAGGAATAAATATTTATAACCAAAAAAAAAAAAAAGAAAAGAAAAAAGAAACCTTATAAATTACAAAATATGTGGACTGGAGCTTGGACTGAACAGTATTTTTTATTTAAAAAAAAAAATTATTCTGTCAATTTTTTCCAAAAAAAATGTTGTTATACACATAGCTTATCCTGCTCCCATACACAGATTAAAGCTACTACATTGCAAAATTGCAATAACACATTCTATATCTTAATACCTATAGTATTATTCAAAATCTGTTATTAACCTTCCTTTGTAAGTTATGGTACTTACATTTTTTTATGCTTGTCAGATCTTTAAGTTATTTTAGTAGAAACTTTTGACAGCAATTGTACTGTTGGCTTCAAAAATGACTTTTGCTTAGGTACAAGTTAAAACATAAATATGTTCTTAGGTGATCTCCCTCTGAAGTCAGTTGTTGATTTCTTACTCTCTTTTCTCAGATTTAAGAGCTGGATTATTCTGTGCTTTTTTAATGCAAAGATGCGCTTCCTACAGTATGCGTCACAGTACAAAGTACGCCAAAATGCTACTCGTATGCAACTTATGTTGCTGGAAATGTGTAATTTAGTTTGAAAAATATTCCTAATGGCACATGCAGTAAGGAGTATACAGGTGTGTATGTATATAACACAGCCAAAAATGTGCATGTCATGTTAAGGACCGTTTGATTCTTCCGGAGTGACTTTAATAAATCATGCGATGCATTTAGTCGTGTAGACTAACACGCCCTTAGCTTCTCAGGTGTGGAAAGAGGAAGACTACGAAATTTCCTCCATATTTAGTTGATCAGCCATTATCTATTTGGAAGAAACGTGAAGGAAACTGTCACTGTACCTGGCTTTTCAATATCTCCTGTATATACCCTGTTTTACTTGATCCTCTGGGGTGAGAAACCTGTGAGATTGAGACACACTCAAGTGCAGGTGAGCTAGCAGGATTTCTGGAAGGGCCTCCTAAACAAAGTCTGCAGGCCTTCCTTGCTCAAGACTTAGGCTCAGGCTTTTAGGTCTTGAAACCTTGGCCTTGGTTTCTGTGATAATGAAAGTGGAGGTTGTCCCAGCTGCATCTTTTGTACTTGTGCAAATGTATTGAGCTTCAGGGAAGTTTCCGTGCCGTGTCATTATGAAGTAGAGTGACAACTGTGTGTGTTATAAAATAAAAGACAATAAAAACTAGTGGAGAACTAGAGGAATTAACACTACTAATGCAAAGCCTCAAAAAAGAAAGCAATTAAAGTTTTGAGCTGCTCCTTTCCAAACCTCTGTTTAGAAGTGACTTGTCTGCTCTTGATTAGGTTGTGTGTGATGATACTTCACAAGTGCGATGTATGGATTAAATCTCTGGTTTTCTTTTCTTCTAGACTATATCTTCTGTAAAGCTTGTGGAAGATAGATGTATGTGCTGCAATGGTGACATAAATATTTAAGAGGACTGGAACAAGTTGTTGAGAACCGGTGTTTGTTTTTAATGCTGCTGCTGAGAACAGTCTAAGGCAAGTAAACATCATGAGTTTTATCATGAAACTTCACAGACATTTTCAAAGAACAGTTATTTTGCTGGCCACTTTTTGTACAGTGAGCATTGTTATCTCTGCATACTACTTGTATAATGGCTACAAACAGGAAAATGAACTTTCTGAAATCACTTCAGAAGTGGAATGCGGTGATCTTCAACTGTTGCCATACAAGCTGATGGAGATGAAGACCATGAAGCCTATTGATCCCCTGAGGACTGATCTTGTAGTGCTGGTGTTTGTGGAAAGTCAATATTCAGCATTAGGCCAAGATATAGTGACTGTTTTAGAATCCAGCCGATTTCAATATCACATTGAGATTGCACCTGGAAAAAGTGATCTCCCGGTGCTTATAGACAAAAATAAAGGCAAATATGCTCTCATAGTATATGAAAATATTCTAAAGTATGTGAATATGGACTCTTGGAACAGAGGCCTTCTAGACAAGTACTGTGTAGAATATGGTGTCGGTGTTATTGGATTTCACAAAGGCAGTGAGAACAGCTTACAGAGCTTTCAGTTGAAGGGCTTTCCTTTCCTTGTCCACAGCAATGTGGGTATTAAGGACTGTTGCATTAATCCTCATTCCCCATTGCTCCATGTGACAAAGTCCTCTAAACTTGATAAAGGTCCCTTGCTTGGAAATGACTGGGCAGTTTTCCAGATTAATCATACAGCTTATCAACCGGTGATATTTGCGAAAGTAAAGACGCCAGAAAACCTTTCACCACCTACCACTAAAAGTATTCTCCATGCCACAGTAATTCATGACCTGGGGCTCCACGATGGGATTCAGCGAGTCCTCTTCGGCAATAACTTGAATTTTTGGCTGCACAAGCTGATTTTCATAGATGCCATCTCTTTCCTGTCTGGAAAGAAACTTAGGCTGTCCTTGGATAGATACCTCCTGGTTGACATAGATGACATCTTCGTTGGGAAGGAGGGAACACGGATGAACACCAACGATGTGCAGGTAAAGTATGTACAGAAACAGTCACTGCAGCAAAGGGCGAGTTTTAAAATCTAATTTGTGAAGTGAACAGTTATGAAGGGTTGGAATTCACTAAGGATACAAATCAGTCAGTAGCAAGGCAGACTGTTTCTGCCTTGAGAGAGAAGCCAGTCTCTCTGGCTTTGGCAGCGCTGAGTCCAGGTGTAATAGTTACTTCAGCCTCCAGGCTGGAGAAGACTCCATGCAGCATTGCTTATACATGCACTAGGGAAGCGTGTGGGATAATAAAAACCTCCCTGGCTTATATCCCTTGTTCTCTCTCCAGTGACACATGAGTCCCTGCTGAGGTAAGCTCTATAAACTGGAGGGTGGGCACCTCTGATCTGAATTACTTTCCTCTTACTTTATATGGAAAATGGTCACCGAAAAGGGAATTAAAGAAAAGTAGTTGCTAATTAACTGTTAAAGAAAGGAGATAGGAGTGGTGGCAGTGTTTCCTTTTAGAGACCCCCCCCCCATCCAATTTTAAGCGGTTAGAAAATTGTACAGGGTTTAATTCTGTAGTTTGATGAGTACCTCCTAAGCGGTACTTCAGTAAGAGTTTGAAGACAGCACAGGACTTCAGAGCTAGACCCAAGAACTATTAGTTTGTAATATGTGTGCTGCTAGTCTTACAAACGGAAGGTGAATGTGGTGAGCTGATAATAAATGCCAACATAAATTTTGAAGAACAGATTGGACTATTAGCTGTTTGAAAAATATTTCAGATGTCAGGACTCAGTTGCAGCATTTCACCTTTCCTGTCGCTGTTTTGTGTCTCTTGCTTGCAGCCAAGGCTGGTTTTAATATAGATCTTAAAAACTTGTTCTGTAACTAAGTGGCTTGGCAATTTCTGTACGTTTTTAAGCAGTTTAAGTGACATGTTTCTGAAGGTCCTTTCTCACTCTCTGCTGCCGTGCTGTTCAAGTGAAGTGGTAGTTTTGAGTCAGTGGGAGTAATGTTTTAACATTAGGTACACGGCAATAATATAATCTCCTTTTTGTCAAGAATCTGGTTGCAGAACAAATAGTTAGAGAACGCTTAAAAACTGAAATATTTGATCTAGAAGCTAGAAATCTGTAGGACACTAATTACTACCGTGTCTACGCTAAAACTAAAGGCGAATGTTGTGTTAGAGCTTCCGCAGTGCAAAGAGGAACTTAGAGAGGAAAGGAAAGGCAAAGATAACACTGCACGCAGTTGTTACTCAATTTTGTTCAATTTTAAGTGGGCTTTCTTACAGTGCTAATGTATTTGTCAAGCTGCAGTAACTCTGCATATATTGCTTCATTAAACAAAAGATTTGAACTTGGGGTTGCAATGTATACTATTTTCCAAAACGTTCTCTGCACGTGCAATTATAAATGTCTCCTAGGTAAGTGTTACCCTTATACAAAAGAATTGCATAGGAAGGAGATGGAGAAAACGTGGAACAATAAATGTAATCTCTGTGTAGAACATGATGGCAGCATTTCAGTTGCATGGATGAGCATGTTTTGAGAATCTCCCACTCCTGTTGTTTTGAAGAAGAGGCAGATTCTATTAACAGCATACGTAGTGGAAGACTTACTTTGGCTTTATTCTGTGTTGGACAGTAGCAATTTGAAATGGTATGTTTCCCATTGTTTCTTTGTGTGATGACACCTTAAGATGTCATTTTAGGATTAGTTAGAATGATTGATTGCCAGAATTACTTCTCAGAAACGGGAAGCTTTTGAGACAAATTAACTTAAAGCAGATACAAAAGGATGAACTGCATTATTTTGGGAGATTAATGTGCAGTACGTCAGAATGGTAACTCCCCAAAATAAAACTGTAAAATAAAATATAAATAACGTCAAAGTGGAAATAACTTTTAAGTAGGAATAATGTAGGTGATCATTTATGTGCTACTGTGTTCTGAAACAGTGGAATCAGAAAAAGTGTTCCCTTCAGATTGTCTGCCTAAAAGTTAAAATGTTCCATTAAACACGTTGTTAGGACTGTCAGATGCAATGTATCTTCATTACTATTAATATCAAAGCAGTTATCCTCTGTGGCACAATGACATGTGGAAGGAATGAAATAAAATCAATTTACTGTAGTTGAAAATCTGTTATTGTAAACTATATTTGCACATAAATGACATCCTATTATTAGACAGGAGTGTTTTACTGAGTTCTGCTGCATTGACTGTGACAGAGAATTGTGTGACGCTAGTGTGAAAATAAGTTCTTTAATGGAGACTTTATATAATTTCAGTACTTATGATTAACTCATTTCAACCGAGCTTACATTTTTAAAAGCTAGCAATATAGAATTAGGTCTAATGCTTTTCTGAGTTTCAATTTCGTTTGACGTGTCTCTTACTTAGTATTTTCTGGACATACTCACATCTAGTAAGGCCATAAGCTTACTCAGAGTGAGATGGATGTTTCTATATGCACTTGATTAATGCAGAAGTAGTCTAAAACACTTCATAAAGCTTCCAAAATCCAGAGTACCTTTATGGCTGCTCCTGCTCCTTACTCTGGATAGGGCAGAGTTTAGAAACTGCAGTGTTAATGCATAACTGATGGCAATAATAATTACTTATCGTTGAGTTTCACTGACAAACTTGGACAGGCAGTATTAGTCCTAGGTCTTCTGTGACAGGTTTCTCTCCATCAACTGTGTAAGGAACCTAGGTTCGCTTTAAAAGGACTGGTTCATTAAGCCCCTAAGGTTTAAGCTCAGATTGGGTTAGCAAGTGAAGAAAGTCGTGACTGAGTGTTTAAAAAAAGAGGGTCACCATAGCAAAAGAGATCCTGCAGCACTGAAGCAGTACAGAATATTTGTTACATTGCAATTGCGTATAAGGTTAGATTTTCAGGGGAATATCTTCTTAGCAAGTTTCATTTAGGTTTCTGAAGTAGCCGGAATAATAGTTAATAGATGGATTTTAAACTAAATTACCGTCTTCTTTAAAGTTTGTGAACTGGAACTGAGCACTTTTGAAAATTGCTATCATAAGGTTAAGTGGTAATTTTTTTTCGATATTATTTCTCACCTCAGAAGAGGTTGAGTCAGAAACCGCGTCTCTAAAATGAGGGTCTTCGGCTCCTCTAAAAATTAGGCAAAGTGGTACTTCCGCTTGAGTATCCGGAGTGTCAAGGACATGAGCATAAAGAGCGCTTCTGAAAATCTTTTGACGTTGTTTAGCAACATAAAAATCCTGTAAAACTAATACATGGGCCATTCTGTTAGACAGCAGACTAACTTTGTACCAGTCCCACCACAACTTCATCAGTTAAAAAACAAAAAACCTTGAAACTGTACCTGGTTGTTACCAATTTAACCATCTCTCTATAAAATCTGGGCCAACGGAATGTAGTTGTTCAGTACAGCATACTGAGTAGCTGTCAGTGTGCATCAACAGTAACCATCCATCTTAGTTTATTTACTTTGTCTTTCTCTGGTATAGTAGAAATAATGGAAGAGAACATTGTCTTAGTCTAATTGCCTCCCACTTTGAAAATATGCTTGATAATGTCATCTAGCATTCATTTTCAGTAACTTCTTTTCTCTCTTAATATTTGTCTAGCAGCAGAGACCATTATGCTGTGACAATGCTATATTTTTTCTTTGTTTCTTGTAGAAGACTAAGAGCCTGTGCAGTGCAAATAATTCATTTGAATGGACGTACAGAGAAAATCTATCTAGATGTCCACAGAGTAAATTTATCTTAATAAACCATGATTGTCCCACTTGACACTACTAATGTAATATCATATAATCTTTACTGTTACAGTTACTCATTCTAAATTTTTTCAGACTATAAAGCACTGAGATTTTTTCGGAAAAAAACCAATCTGATAATAGGGGGAAAATTAAAATACAAATTTTTTTCCATTGACAGCTCCTACTCCAAAAGTGCCAGTGGAGCAGTAGGCAGTAAGTTGATCTACCTCTCTTCATTTCCTCCATACATGCCCTTTCTGCATTTCCTTGAAAGTTGATCACATTTCTAAAGAAAAATTAGGGCATTGTGAAATATTTTCTGAAGTTAATAGCTGTATGATCCCCTCTTTATTCTCCTGTCCTTATGTGCATTTCGAAAGAGGCACTTTGAATCGAAGTCAGGATGGGGAAAACATTCTTACTTCCCTGTAATCTTTTCACTTTCTTCGTATAAACCTAATCTTTCTCTGCACACGTAATTCCTACTTTTGCTCAGTTTTGAAACAGTGGTCGGGTTGTTATTTGGGGAGAGTTTTGGCATGGATAAGCATCTTGGATTTGTCCCAGAAAATACTCAGAGTGAACTACAGACAAATACGATTATGCTTACACATGAAAATATTATGATGGGTGCTTATTTTGGGGGGGGTGGGGGGCAGGGGGGAGGAATGCTTTGTAAATGCTAAGGAAAAAGTTTCATATTAACCATATCCATTATTGGGAGGGAGATGATGTACCTTGTTTCTTTTTCTATTCTGTGAGCACTTAGGTAGTGCATCCTTTAGTAGACGTGCATTAAAATGAGAAAAACAGACGTGAACCTGCAGAGGCTTTCGGCGTTAGAGTCATTGAAGAATTGCATAACGAGAATTATATTCTGTAATGATTTGCCTGCATATTATCTGTGCCAAACAATGCTACGGTAACGCAGAGGATTTAGCCAAGAAGGACAAATTCATGGCATTTTAGTCTCCGTCACTCACACAGTCTGTCTGTGCAAGATTCTTCTTGCCTAGGTACTGAGGTTTATAATGCAGACATCTGTATCCGAGTTAGCCCTCTAACTTTCAATTGTAGTCAGCACAGAGAAATAGCTACAAATGGCTCATCTTCAGGCAGAAACTGGTTAAGTGAATTGCACCTTAAAAATACACGTTTGCTTCTGTTGTTCGTAAAATCCTTCTGAGTGACTAAGATCACATATAAACATTTGTGTTTGCTCAGATAGATCTTATTCTGTGTCCCAGAGCCAGTGCTGTCATTGTTATATCATTACCTCAGTG